AGAGCCACCTGGTCCGAGGCGGCGTAGTCAGCCACGTTCAGCCCTTCCATGTACTGCACCAGAGCCTGCTTGTAGTCCTTCTCCCGGAACAGGTCATTGCCCTCGGCAAACAGGTTCTGTACAAGCTTGAGCAGGAAGGCCTGGGCAGGGCAGGTACACGGGGACTCAGGAGGTCTCCACGCAGACTAGCTCAGTTACAGCCCTCTGCCCGGAACGCAAATGCGCTCCCCTTCACCCACCCACCCACCGACGTGACACTCACCTCATACTCTTCTTGCTTTAGGGGTAGTGTTGACCTGGTAGGAAAAGAGAGACAGAGGAAGGCATAAGCTCATGGATCCCATGCGGAGCCCCAGGGCTGGCGCTTCAGGCCCGAGGTTGTGCCAGGAATCGGCTCCTCCCACTTAGAACTCCATCAGTGTGGTTACGGTAAGAGGTGAGAGGACTGCATGAGACCACTCAGTTCTGATGGAAGGCCTTGCATTTTTCCCCAGGCTAGCCCAGCCAGCAGCTGTCCTCTGCCTACGAGCTCGGCCCTCTCCTCGGGAAAGCAAGTGCCCAGGTGTCCCTAACTTACAAAGGCAGAGTAGCCATGGCTAGGTCTAGGAAGCCCCCAGGCCTGGGAAAGGACAAGAGGAGAATAATCAGACTCGGGCCAAGGCAAAGTCAAGGGTGACTTGTATGGGGACGGGATGCTGCTCGGAAATTAACCTCTACTCTGGAACTACGACCCTCATCAAACCAAATCTGTACCTCAGGCCCAAGGGAGACTCACAGAGTCCACCTCAGGTACCCTTGGTCTGAGAGGCTCTGCCCTTCTCCTGATCTAACTCAAAACAGTCAGGGCCAGGGCTGGAGAGATGGCTCAGTGGTTATGAGCAGTGGCTTCTCTTCCAGAGGACCCGGGTTCAATTCCCAGCACCCACATGGCAGTGCACAACTCTCTGTAACTCCAGTTCCAGGGGATCTGACACCCTCACACAGATATACATGTAGGCAAAACACCAATGCACATAAAATTAAAAAAAAATAAAATGAAATAAAAAATTTAAAACAAAAACAAAACCCAGTCAGTGCCAGGCCCACTGACAGCTGTCAATCCCTCAGGCCAGACACCAACAAGTCACTCAGGGCCTAGCTAAATCTACAAAAGGACAGCTCCGTGTGGTAGCGAGCCACTGGCTCAGGAGAGCCGCAGCTGTCAGGCTGGAGGGAGGGCGGGGCGTGTCTCCTGGTCCCTCACCGAGGGGAAAACGGATGCTGTGGGGAGCAGAAGATGCAGAGGGCGAGGGGGACCTGAGAGACTGGATGAGACCCAGAGGCAGCCAGGGCCAGGCACTGGTGGAATCCACAGCTTTTCTGCCTTGCTGGCCCCTTTCCCAGCTCACCCCAGCTCTCCACACGCCCGGGCACACTGAGCAGGGTTCAGCCAGGAGGAAAAGGAGAACCAGACCACCCTGCCCACCGTCCACTGCCCACTTACTGAATGAACTGCAGCCCCTTCTCGATGTCTGCCTTCCGTTTCTGCCTCTCCATCAGTGTCTGCGGGGAGAGCACAGTCCGTCAATCAGACAACGGGGGTGTGGGGGGGTGTTGGGCAGAGTGGGGGTGGCAGATATCCCCACCTTACCCCGCAGCTGTCAGAAGGTTCTTTCCCGCCAGGCGGTGGTGGCGCACGCCTTTAATCCCAGCACTCGGGAGGCAGAGCCAGGCGGATCTCTGTGAGTTCGAGGCCAGCCTGGTCTCCAAAGTGAGTTCCAGGAAAGGCGCAAAGCTACACAGAGAAACCCTGTCTCGAAAAACCAAAAACAAACAAAAAACAAAAGAAAGAAAAAAAAAAAAGAAGGTTCTTTCCCTCCCACTTATCCCCCTTGTAGAGGTTTGAAGGGTCCAATTTGTTTGTTGGGTTTTTCAAGACAGGGTTTCTCTGTGTAGCCCTGGCTTTCCTGGACTCGCTCTGCAGACCACGCTGGCCTCGAACTCACAGAGATCCGCCTGCCTCTGCCTCCCGAGTGCTGGGATTGAAAGTGTGCACCACCACCGCCTGGCTGGAGGGGTCTTGAGAGCGACCGGCCACCTCAGGCACTACACAGGCCACGGGCCATGCAGCTATCTTGCAGACCCATGACCCGCCGGACTCATGTGTGTGGTGAACTTGAGGGGCAAAGGTTATGTGAGGACCACTGGGCCTTCACCACACAATGACTTGGGTAAGAGTAGTGCCTGGGACCATCTCAAGTTCAAAGGAAGAGCCTTGTTTTACCATTGGACTCAGTCCCTGTGCTACCAGGGCCTAAGCACAGGACCACCAAGGAGAAGGAAGCCAGCAAGTGCAAGGGCTGCCGACAACTGGAGATTCGAGGGGCATCTGGAGGAGCTCCTTCCTGCACTGAGCTCCTTTAGGCTCCTGTTCACGCAGCAGCGAGAGGCCCATTCACCCTGATACGAGAAGGCAAACTCAGCTGCGGCTGTAAGCTGGGGGTGGCATGCCCTTTCTTTCATGTCCACCAGCAGTCCCGTCAGGCCACTAGTGAGCCCCAGGGATGGCTACCCAGGGAGAATGATGGTGTGCATACCTCTTGCCTGGACCTGGGCCTGGGCCAGGGCGTGGAGCTCAGCCCAGGAAGGCCTTCCTTCTCTCTCCACAGCACACCTGTAGCTCTCCATCTTCACCAGGCAGGGAGGGAGGTTTGGGGACACAGCTGTCACCCCAGGGAGCCCTCCATATGCAGAGAAACCAATGTGTGTGTGTTTATGGAGCACTGACATGGGGGGGGGGACCACTCCCAGTCTGTTTGGTCTCAAGTGACTTGGAGAAGGCTCTGGACTCAGACGTGGGTGTGAGTTCGACTTTGGACTTCCGTGTCCCAAGGGGGTAATAGGGCTGATGGCAGAGCCTGCCACACTGGCTATCATGAGGGCCTGGGAGATGACAGGTGCTGAGTCCCTGGTACAGACAATGGTCCAAACATCACAGGAAGTTGCGTGATCCCACATCGCCCCTCCCTCTTGCAAGGCACTCTACACTGTGGTTCCTGGGTCAGATACCTGACTGCAATCCAGTGCCATAGCAGGAGGTCAGCCATGAGAGCTGCGGCTTCTCAATCAGTCTTTGTCCTCAGCTTCTCTGTCTGCAGAATGAGCCCCTCATTGCTGCACCCCACTCTGCCCCTTGTCACACAACCCTGCATCCTGCTTTCACGGTTCCCTACACCCTTCCCGGGCTGGCTGCAAAGGCTTCTCTCCTTTCAGGTCCTTGAAAATGCCCCACCACTCCTCACCCATCCAGTGTTGGCCAGGAACCTGGGTAGCTTTGGTGGCTCAGGGACAGGCTTGTCCCGGACATGTAATTGAGCAGGGGAGACAAGGCCAAACCATGCAATGGGACCCAGTTCCACACAGGGGAAGCAGCCTCTGTGGGTCTGACCACAGGCACCACATGGCATAACCATGACCCCTGTCCTCTGAGCCCCCAGTTCAAGGCCAGCCTGGTCTATAAAGCCGCTTCCAGGACAGCCAGGACTACATAGAGAAACCAAAAACAAAATGAAACAAAACAAGAAACCAAATTAGGAAAAGACAGAGGCAGCCCTTTGAGCTTTGGGAGTGTATTTGTGACATCTGCCTCTAGCCCCCTAAGGCAGATGTCTGTCTAGGATGATTCCCTGCAGGAAAATATCATGCCTCTCCCCAGTTCAGGCCCCAGGGTCTACGTGGATCACCGAGGGGTCCTCCTGTTGTGTATAAAGGCCTCAGAGCAAGACCAGCCAATAGACTTCATCTCAAAGAGCAACATGGCAGGTAGAGGCTGCTGGGGCCACCCAGGGGGTGCTGGTTAAGGAGGGCCCCTAGGTTCTCATGGTACTTTCAAGAAAAAAAACTACACTATGTGATGATTGCTTACCACAAGGTCCAGCAACAAACACTCACGGGCCTCAACCACACCTCCCATCAGAGTGTCCCTACTGCTGAGAGCCACGTTAATGCAAAGACACATGCAGTCAGAGTCGCAGGTCTGCGGGCAGTCCGGGGTAACAGTGGTTAGAGCCCAGGCTGTGACCGAGGTGAGCTAGAAGAGAGGGAAGTGCCTTTCTGCCCCCGACCTGAGCCCAGACACAGCCGAGGGTGGTGGCACACACCCTCAATCCCAGCATTTAGGAGGGAGCAGCGGCAGGTGGATCTCTGTGAGTTTGAGGCCAGCCTGGTCTACAGAGTGTGAGTTCCAAGACCCAGACAGAACTGCATTTAGTTCCGGCAACAACTGCTACATTTCCAGACTTGGGGCTGCTGGGGGTGGGATGGGGCTCTCTTAGACCACTTGCTGCCCTCAGAGAACTCCTGGGCCAGCAGAAGAGCTGTGGCTCCGGGCCTGAACCCGCCCGGTGCCAGCAAGGAAGGGGAACCAACGCTGCCCAAGCCGGGAGCAGTGGTGCACACCTGTAACCCCAGAACTTGGGACGTAGAGGCAGGAAGATCAGGCGTTTCAAGGCCAGCCTTGGCTACATAATGGACTTTGAGGCCAGCTGGCCTACAGGTGCAGGTGACTCTGTCTCATATCCCCGCCCCCCCCCCAAAAAAAACCCAAAATAACAACAACAAAACATGCCCTCAGAGGGTTCACTGCCCAGTGAGAACCCTAACTATAGGGACATGGTTAGAATATGACAGATAGGCATTCATCATCCATGCATCCATCTAAACATCCATCCGTGAATGGAGTGAACACTCTTTCAGTGGGGGACCTGAAGAGATGGCTCAGCGGTTTGGAACACTTGTTGGCTCTACTGGAAGACCTGGGTTTGATTCCCAGCACCCACATGGTGGCTCGCAACCATCAGTAACTTCAATTCTACAGGACCTGACACCCTTCTCTGACATCTGCAGGCACCAGGCCTGCACGTGACAGACAGACAGACAGACATGCAGGCAAAACAGTCACCCAATCTTTTGGGGGCAGGTACAATGACAAAGAGGGGCATTTGTCACCAAGCTTAATGACTTGAATTCAATCTCTGGAACCTAAAGTCAAAATAGATGCCCCCAACTTGTCCTCTGACCACCACACAGGAACTGAGGCATACTGGCACCTACACACACACACATGCAAATATCACAAATGCACACACACACACACACACACACACACACACACACATATGCAAATATTACAAATGCGCGCGTGCGCACACACAACACACACCCACACCCCCCCCCACACACACACACACCACACACACTTCCCCAGCAGAAATATCTTTAGTGTTCTTCAACAAGTAGGAACTAGCCATGAACAAAGTCACCAGTGTCTTTTTCAGAAGTAATGCCACACAAGAAGGACACGTGACAAGGAGAAGCTGAGAAGGACAGGAAGGCATATTTTAGAGTCAGAGAAAGCGACTATAACATCTGAACAGAAACCTCAATGACGCGAGGGAATGAGCGCTGTGAACAGTGTGTGTGTGCGTGCACGGGTGTGTCCGTGTTGTGCCTCTAATGCTAAACAAACAAACAAACAAACACAAAGACCCTACCCCGAGGGTTTGTAGGTGCAGCGAGGGTTGTCTGCGGCTTCCACTCTAAGGAGTATTTTGAACATTGAGACTTATTTACATCTCCCGATTAGCTAGTCGGACAGGAAGGCAGCACTCCACGAGGCTAGGAAGGCTGGCAAGGCCACACAGTGGCCCGGGTTAAAAAAGACTGGGGAGGAGGCAGGCGGCAGGGAGCCTTGATGGTGTGTGTGTGTGTGGGGGGGAGCACCTCCCAGCCCCGGTGGTTCTTGAACCCACACCTACCCCTTCCCTCCTCAAGGAAGAAAATTCTCACAGGCAGTTATTATGCACCAAATGTTTGTGTCTCCCCCAAGTGTCTATGCGGAACGATCAGCTCCCATTTACACACAGGGACCAGGCCTATGGGGGACTGGGAGTGAAATGTCATGAAGGTGGGGTCCTAACGGGCATCTTGTCATGGCAGCCTGGGCAGGCTAACTCAGATTTTGTATTAGAAAGCGGGGCACTGCTATAAAAGATACCTGGATATCTTTTATAGACAGAAGGGACCTTGGAACCCGGGGTGGAGCAGAGACTGGAGGTGTTTGAAGTGGACGACAGAAAAAGCCTTGGGGCTAAGGCTGGTGGTGTGGCTCAGTGGGTAAAGGCACTTGCTGCCAAGCCTGGTGGCCTGAGTTCAATCACGGCCCCACATGGTGGAAGGAGACAATCAACTCTCACAAGCGTGCTGGGGCACACACACAGAGTAAAGAAGCAGTACACAAATTCAAAAACCTAGACGGCTGTTGTGGGACCAGAGGTAGACATACAAATATGAAAGGTGATTCACGTGAGGACTCAGGAAGGCAGAGCTGGCCAAAGCGAAGGGCTCTGCCATCCCACAGCACACAGCCACCACCACAGACAGAAGGCGCAAAACATGTGCACACTCACAGTGGTTCTGGGCTGGAGAGATGGCTCAGTGGTTTGGAACACTTGTTGGCTCT